ATGCCAAGGCGCTCTATTCTGCCCTCCAGCCACAAATGGGACCACTATGGACAGTGGCCAACAGCCTGGACCATCCTGAGGAAAATGCCAATCATCCTGTGGTTGCTGCTGTTGGACACTTCGCTGCCTACTGTGAGGGGCCAGACCAAAATTCCTCTGGAAACGTGAGCCTCCAGTTTGATCCTACCCTGAAGGCCCTTCTCATAGCTCCCTCCCTCTGACCAACTGTCCTGCCTCTGAGAGACCCTTCCCTTCCTGCCTCCTGTCCTCCTCAGATCCTTGCTGATTTTGGAGTCCACCTGCCCCTACCTTCTGGCTTTGTGTGGTTGATGTCAGGGCTAGATGAGGGTGCAGGCATCCAACAAGGAGGATAACTACAAGAGAGAGTGGGATTGGGCTGCAGTGATTCTTAGAAGTGACTATTGTGGCCCCTGAGGACTCATTGGGTGATCTGTGCTTAGACACCAAGAAATGGCAGAGCTGCTGGAAATGGACAGGCAGGATGGTGCCTACAAACACCAGGGCCCTGTCTAGGAACTCAGTTCGGATGGGTTCCAATGGCCTGGATCTTTGTATACCTCCCTCCTCCTTCAAGGCTTTGATTATACACCCCACCACTGCTGGTGTTTAGAAAGACTTGATCTGATACAATCTCTCGGGGTGTTTGTTCTTTAGTCTGGAACATTCTGGATACTAAAGGGAGCTGAGCATCCTAGACTGACCCTTCACAGTTCACATCTGAGCCTAACTGCTAGGACCTGGATGTCAGGACAGGGGCTCATACAAGCAGTTTTTGTGATTTGGAAAGAGTGGGCTTCCATGACACTGGGTGACCGACCCCTCCTTGCTCTGCTCAGCACTGTACCAGTGCTGCCTTCCCTCAGTGAGGGAGGTAATGCCATCCTCCAAGCAGACAGGACCACAGATGAAAGGGCTGGAATCCAGGCTGCTGAGCCAGCCTGGCTTTTGAGACAGCCCCTGCAGCCTTGCATAAGCTGAGCAGTCTTTATCTCAGAAGGCAATTTCCAAAATGGCAGGAGGCCAAGAGAAGATGGCTGGCATCCAGGGAGGCCGTGCACACAGAAACCTCGAGAGCAGCATGGGATAGCCACCTCCACAAAGCTCTGCTGCTGCTTTCCTGTCCCAGGAAGACAGAGCTCTGCACCCGCTCTCCTCCCTCTCTCCCTCCTTGCAGTCCTCCACCTCTGTCCTGCTGAGCCTCCTGCTCAGCCTTCAGCCGCTTGCTCCTCCACAGCTACAGTATACACAGATGCCAAAAGCCTCCTGGTGACTGATCCTGGAGACTGCGGCCCCCACACCTTGCTGCGTCTGGTGCTCCCCTTTTCTTTTGATACCCCACACCTTGATTCCTAGAGCACAGTGACTGGTTTCCCATGGGCTTCTGGGTGATTTCTCTGCCACCTTCAAGAGAACCTTGCCATCTGCATGTCTCTGAAACATGTCCCACTGCCTGTCATCACCACACACTCACCTTGCCAAGAGTCCATTTGCCCACAATCCTGTTCGTGCCCTAATGGCGCCATCCAGCCTCCTACCTGTCAGACTCCCATGCTCAATGCCTATGCACACTTCTTCCTGAGCGTCACGGGAGCTTGTCACGGGTGCAGGTTTCTCTGGCTCCTAAAGTTATGGAGTGTGCAACTGACCCAATGACACTCGCTGGCTTTGTGTCAGGAGGCTCACATTCGACATGGCCCAAGCTACATGCATCGCCTTCTTCTCTCCTTGATTCACTCAGGCCACCATCCTTACATTCTCAGCAATGGTCAACAAGCCAAGCTGGAGGTCTTGAAGTCATTTTCCACTCCTCCAAGCTCTCTACCAAGAATTCTTTTCTGAATCTCCTCACCAGGCTAACCTCCTCCTCCCTGTAGATGCTGAGCTCAGATCCCGCCTCCTCCACTTCTTCCCTCTCCATCATTACCATCCTCCTCCAAAGGAGTACCACTCTCCTCCATGGGAAGGTGTGTCCCTAACAGTGCATGGCTTCTGTGGAGATAGTGTGACATGCAGTCAGTAAGTGCCAGTGCAAATGGATGCTGCTGCCCTTAAAGGAGCCATACTTGCTTTGGCTGCATGGCCCCAACAGGACCTGGGAGTTTACCTTCTAGGGAGGAAGGAGGGGTCAGTGCTCCAACCAGGTTACCTCCTAGCCTGCCTTACTCCAGACAAGCACTTGGAGTCATTCCTCCCTGCCCCCACTGTCTGAGGGTTCAAGAGGTCAGTGTCTTTTGGCCTTGAGTAGACACATAGGAATGGACTCATCATTGAGATGTGCAGATTGGCTTAGGACAGGTTCAGGGCCTTTCCCCTCTGGTCTGGACCTCCAAAGACTCTCCCTCCTCCTTCCTTTCTCACTGAAAGGTCCTTGAGACCATGGGATTAGAATCTACTCTGAGCCCATCAGCTCTGTGGACCTCTGAAGCCAGGCAGAGTGTGTGTACCACACCCTGGAGCAGCCACAGAGTTTCTCATCCTGGCCAGGCTGCAATTTCGGGGGATAGGAGCTGTCCTAGTTTACTTACTCTCTGTCACTGTAATAAACACCCTGACAAAAACAACTTAAGGTAGAAAAGGGTAGTTCACAATTCCATATTACAGTCCACCATAGCTGGGAAGGAAAGGTATCAGAAACTGAAAACAGCTAATTATAGCACATCCATAGTTAAGAAAAGAGAGAAGTGAATGTAAGCATGCTTCCTTGCTTGTGCATTTGTGCTCTGCTTAATTTCTCTGGTGTTATACAGTTCAGGACTGGCGACTAGAGAATGGTGCCACCCACAGTGGGCTGAATCTTCCAAGATCAATTAATTAAGGCAGTCCCCCAACAGACATACCCTCAGCCCAACCCAATGTAGACAGTCCCTCATTGAGACTTTCTTCCTGGATGGATTTAGGTTGTGTCAAGATGACAAAGCTCACCATCACAGGAATACTGCTCTCTCTCTCTCTCTCTCTCTCTCTCTCTCTCTCTCTCTCTCTCTCTCTCTCT